CTACCAGATTTTCAACATAAAATACAAACAGACCGAATATTTCAAACAGCATAATAAACTAACACATTTTCAACATATAATACAAACAGTCTGAATATTTCTAAACAGCATAATAAACTAACAGATTGCCAACATATAATACAAACAGACTGAATATTTCTAAACAGCATAATAAACTAACAGATTTTCAACATAAAATACAAACAGACTGAATATTTCTAAACAGCATAATAAACTAACAGATTTTCATTCAGTCTGTTTGTATTATATGTTATTTCTAAACAGCATAATAAACTAACAGATTTTCATTGATCACTCAATCTAAGCATTGACAAGGTACATTATTTTATTATTGATCACTAGGTCCAAGTAGTCCGAGAAAAATTTAAGTTGTTTTAGTTGAACTATTTTTTTATAAAAGGCTATTTTAGTGATTCACCAAAAAAAAACAACTAAGTTGGATACTAAGAAGGTTAAAACATTTTCGTTAAAATCAAATGGTTAAAAAAAACCACCAAATATTTCAATAGAGTATAGTGTCTTCTTCAGTTCTTGTGTCAGAATGTTTGGCAGGTTTGTGTTTTAACCATTTTGTTTAATAATATTGTTTTAGCATTTTGTGTTTCAAACATAATTTTATCTGGTGTATCACTAAAAAGGGGATGTTAATATTATTCACCCAGAGTTTTTAACTATCCCTTATATAAATCATATTATGAATAGATTTTTTAAAATAGCTTATGGCCAGTGATGGCAGAGATTGTAAGACAAACATTTATATGAATTAATATTTTCTGTTTCACAGACGACTTAATATATTAAACAAATGTGCAAGAATGAAGGTTGAAAACCTGTCAAGAATAATAAAATAATGGACCTTATCAATGCTTGGATTGAGAGATCAATGATAAAATAATGTACCTTATCAATGCTTGGATTGAGTTATCAATAATAAAATAATGTACCTTGTCAATACTTAGATTGAGTGACCAATAACAAAATAATGTACCTTATCAATGCTTGGATTGAGTGATAACTAATAAAATAATGGACCTTATCAATGGTTGGATTGAGAGATCAATGATAAAATAATGTACCTTATCAATGTTTGGATTGAGTGATCAATAATAAAATAATGTACCTTATCAATGTTTAAATTGAGTGATCAATAACAAAATAATGTACCTTATCAATGTTTGGATTGAGAGATCAATGATAGAATAATGTACCTTATCAATGCTTGAATTGAGAAATCAATAACAAAATAATGTACCTTATCATTTCTGGATTGAGTGATCAATAATAAAATAATGTACCTTATCGTTGCATGGATTGAGTGATCAATAATAAAATAATGTACCTTATCAAGGCTTGGATTAAGTGATCAATAATTAAATAATGTACCTTGTCAATGCTTAGATTGAGTGAGCAATAATTAAATAATGTACCTTATCAATGCTTGAATTGAGTGATCAATAACAAAATAGCATTAATGCTTGGATTGAGTGACCAATAACAAAATAATGTACCTTATCAATGCTTGGATTGAGTGATCAATAATAAAATAATGTACCTTATCAATGCTTGGATTGAGTGATCAATAACAAAATAATGTACCTTATCAATGCTTGGATTGAGTGATCAATAATAAAATAATGTACCTTATCAATGCTTGGATTGAGTGATCAATAACAAAATAATGTACCTTATCAATGCTTGGATTGAGTGATCAATAATAAAATAATGTACCTTATCAATGCTTGGATTGAGTGACC